CTATGTACAAAAGAACTAGTGTATATGTGATTTTCTATAAAACATTGTATTTGTGGACATGTGATTTTTATAAAAGAGCTAGTATACATGTGATTTTTTTTATAAAATCATTAGATATCATAATTTCTTTTGTAGATGGATTTGTGAGCATCAATGCTTTGTTTTGATTCAAGAACCAGAAAAAATCAGAGTGGACAGAAGATACATTCACCTTGATGGAGAAACAATGTATAACGTTTATGTATTATTGTACAAATTTTGTGTATATGTAAATCATTGTACATTTAAAACGTATGAAGGTTATTCACTTTACTCGTGTACACGAACAAAAGTACATACACAACTTATGTACACATCCACATCATCTGAATTATATACACATCCATGTGGTCACCCAATATACTTGTGTACACTAACATTAAGATACATGGACAGGTTATCTCGTGTACACGTGTACGTCAAAAGTGAACCAATATATCGAAAGTGTACACATTATTTTCAACCTTTTAGTCAGTGGCATTTTAGTAAATATATCTTCGTCTTTCCCAGATTTTTAGGGTTTCCTACAACTATTTTGCGGCCGTCATTGATTTCTTTCTCATAATTTTTCATTTTCTTACATTTTTATTCTAGGTTACACTTCAAGATTGTAACTTTATCATTTATAAATAAATTTTCATTTTCAGATTTGAAAAAATCTGAGTCTTCTCTGAGATTTGGTCATTGTTGTTTGAGCTTCATTGTGCAACTAAAAAGCCACCACCATAGAGATCAAGTTTGTCTGAGGCTCGCCGACGGTTTTAGAGCAGGAGCAGAGCATAATAATATGAGAAAACAGAGACACCATGGTTGAAACTTCAAATAGTGAATAAGGGAAAAGAACGAAGAGGAAAATTATATGGGATCTATTTTATTTTAGTTAGTTAGAGGTTCTTAATTAGAAGGTGACTATCACGTTAGAAAAAGAAGAAAAAAAAGAGAATTAGTTAGAATAAACTATCTTGGTAGCATAAACTGCTCTTTTGTGTAGTAAAAAACTTAAAACTGCCCTATGATGAAATAAACTCTTGTTTCTTCCTATGTAGTAAAAGGTGATTATTTTATCTCGACTTTACATCACCACTTCAAAATTAAATATCGCTAGATTTGGATATAGGAAATTTAGTTAGACATATGGGTTATGCATTTAGTTTAAGAAGTAGAATTACTCTTATCTGAAAAATAAATTTAAAGTTTCAAGGTTTTGTTTATGGTTTCAGGGAGTTTAAGAAGTGAGATTATTTTGAGAAAGAACATTGTTCCAAATTGCTACATCATCTAAGTCATGTTTTTATAAGTAAAAAGACTCAGACTTTGAGAAAGAACATTGTTCCAAATTGCTACATCATCTAAGTCATGTTTTTGATTTATCAGGATAATTAATATGTGGGCAAAAAAAATATGTCACTAAAATATCTAGAAAAGAGAAGTTTGATAATCGACGGCGTCAGCCATCGCAAGTTGCTCTCGCGGCGTAACGAAATTGACATGATTGAAGATTTGATCTTTACGAGCAAGGGAGAGAAAAAACAAGCAGGTGATACTACAGAGCAAGGAGAAGTCATGGAGGAGACGAGGGGAATCGCAGATTCATGGCTTAGGCTTAGTGAGATGGAGAGAAAACAACCATCTGAGTAAAGGAGCTCCGTTCATGTGAGAGAGAATATAAAGTCAGATAAAAATTAAGAGATAAAGAAAGAGAAATTGATTTGTGACCACATGAATTATATTTGTATTTTAATTAAGTTTCAAAAAAGTAAAATTTGAAAAAGTTTTGTTTAATTGGAAAAATAAGGAAAGAGCAAATGAAGAAAGCAGAAGAGAGAGAGAAAGAGATTCGAGAAAGAAAGAATAGTTCAGATGGATGAAAAAAATGGGACCTAC